CTCTGCGGGAGGCCCCGCCTGCTAGTTCATGACAAGGACCAATGGGGTCAGGAGTGACAAATGCTGATACACGAGGGGCCAGGTTTACAGCTAAACCCCAGCGCCGCCCCCAGACGAGGAAAGGGAAGCAGAGCAGTTAAAGGAACCAAACCGGCCAGAATGTGGCGGACGGGGAACGGAACCTTCCTCCTTTAGCTGCCACAGCGTCGGAAAAATTTTCAATTAAAAAATGGGGTGTGTGTGTGTCTTAATGTATACTATACATCTCCGCGGGTGAAATATACATGTGAGTATTAATGGCACAGTTTGTGGGGTGCTGTGGGTACGCTACCCTTATCTCCTTTGTGCTGAGGAGGAAGCTGAGGCACAGAGACCTCAAGGAACTTCCCCCAGGTCACACAGTCCTCTCTTCCCCCTACACCCCCGGCCCCAAGCTGGCCCCTCACCTCCATACAGTCTCCCAGGACAAACTCGTAGATGATGAAGGAGATGAGGTTGCCGCTGGTCATCTGCCCGGAGATGACGAGGTGGCCCCCGTAGTAGAGGATGCTGACCTGGACCACCAGCAGTGTGAGCTGGGGGCAGAGGGGGCGAGGGGGGCACGTTGGTCACGGGAGGCTTGGCTCACACCTTCCCACGGCCCCACCCCCCGCCCCGGGCTGCAGGGGCAGGTGAGGGGTGCCGTGGGCCCTGCACTCCCGCCCTCCACTGAACCCCACCAGCAGCGCCCTCCCACAGGCTGGCGACCGCCTGTCATTCACGCCCTCCCCACCCTCCTCCCCTGTGGAGTTTTCCCTGCAAAGATCCCCAGCTGGGGCTGGCCGCGGGCCCGGCGGAGAACAGGGCTGTCTTTGTGAGTTCCTGGCACGCACACCGGACCCCAAACCCTCGGCTCGGCCAAGCGGGAGCCGTCAGTCCTCGTCCTCACGGGAAGAGCATGGATCCAGAGGTTGAGTCCACCAGCCAGGGTCACACAGCCAGCCAGGCCGGCAGCGCAGTGAGGTCTGTGTTTCCTCACCCCCCACCCCCCACCAGGTTCCACAAAGAAGGAGCTGAGTCCCAGCACCCTTGCCCCCACCCCCAGCCCAGTGCCTGGGGCAGTTTCTGGGGGAGGAGTGGAGACAGCAGCCCTGACCACCCATTCAAGCCCCAGGGGCACCCTGCTGGTGGACAGACCTCGGGGAGGCTTGGCTGAGCTGAGTTTCAGGCCCTCCCCTTCCTGGCTGGGCACTTCTGAGGGGTGGCCTGCCCTGGGGGGACCCCCGAGGTCCCTGTCCCCTGAGTCCCCTGTAGACACCAGCTCCTCCTTCCCCTGAACACCAAACCCTCATCTTCCCTAGCCCAGCCGGTTCCCGATGAGCCCTCCGTCCAGATGTGGCCGCAGACAGGACAGGGTCCACGTGCCCCCAGCGCCCAGGGAGGGGCTGTGACCTCCATCCCTGGAAGCAAGGCAGACCCTCCGCCGGCCTGTCTAGTGGTGGCCTCGGTCCTGCCAGAAAGGGGCTTAGGCTGTGCCCGGCTGGCCTTGGGGTGACTCCGGCCTTGGCAGGGAGTTCCCCAGCTGAGAAGAGAGCTCAGCCCAGGACCCCACGCGCAGAGGCAGCGAGATCCCTGTGGGAACACTCACCCGGAGGCTGTGTTCCTTCCTAGAAAGCGTCCCCGTGCACAGGCAGCAAGCAGGGACGGCCTGCCCCCCGGCAGGGACCCAGCTAATGTCCTGAGCAAGGGGCCCCACCTTCGCGTCCGTCCCCGTGGTCGGACCTTCCCCGGGGCCAGGGGCACGTACCCCGCTGCCCCAGACGTAGTACGTGTAGGCGGCCGCCTCCTTCCTGTTCAGCTTGTACACCTGCTGCAGCTTCTGCGAGTACACCTCCGCCTCCTGCTCCTCGTTGGCGAAGCTCCGGACGGTCTTCATGGCACTGATGGTCTCCTCGGCCGTGTTGCTGGCTCTGGCCAGGGCGTTCTGGACCTCCTTGGAGAGCCTCTGTGGACAGGGAGTGGGGGGGGGGAGACCCACGGGCAGTGTCACTCCCGACCTGCACCCCAGGCCTCTGGGCTTCTCTGGGCTTCGTTGGCGCAAGGGAGCGCTCTGCAGGGAGACCCGGGCAGAAGGGTGAGACTGAGTTCCCTCTCTCCCTCTCCTTCCAGCCTGATTGGACGGACCTAGAGAACAGACTGCAGCCGGCCAGCGGGCTCAGTGGCTGAGCATCAAACCACGAACCATGAACCATGAACCATGAACCATGAACCATGAACCAGGAGGTCAAGGTCAGGGCACATGTATCCGGGTTGCGGGTTCGATCCCCAGTTGGGGGCTGTTCCTATGTTTCGAACTCTCTCTCCCTCTCCCTTCCTCTCTGAAATCAATAAAAACACATATTTTTTTAAATATGAGAGGTGCCATTTACATCATCAACATACACTGAATCATGTGAGAGCGGGAGGGTCCGGCACGGCGGCTCCGGAACTGCCAGCTGGAACGTCTGCCCGGGGCCGTGTGCGGAGGGGACAGATGGCTGAGACGTGGTCACAGGTGCATGACCCCCGGGCTGCTGCCCGCGGGGGTTCTGGAAGGGGACCCTGGGCAGGGCTGCTCGGGCTTTGCCAGAGTCACCGCGCTGGGCTTCTCCGTCCAGCCCCTCCCGGGAGGCCAGCCGGACCCCTGTCGCCTGACCTCTGCGTCATGCCCAGCGGTCGGAACCCTGCAGTGTGTCAGCACCGGAGGCTGTGCCCCAGTCACGACTGGCTGTGGGCGGGGTGTGTGGCTTGTGGCGGTGACTCGGAGGCTATATTCAGCACATTCAGGTGCGGGGAGAAGGCCACAGACAAAGAGTGTCCTTGAGGCTCCAGGGACTGAACCTGGGCGAGGCCTGAGGTGTGCACAGAGGCAGCGGCTGGGAGCGGGGTTCCAGCCCTGTCCCAGGGGCTGGGACAGGCGGGGAGGCAGGAAGGGCGGGGTGGGGAGCGCAGGAAGCCAGCTGGCCGGGGCTCCAGCCAGTGAGTGCATTTACTTTTTCTACTCAGCGAGGGAAACGGGGAGGCCTGTGACCCAGAGCCGAGGGAGCGAGGGCCCTCCTAGGGGACGTGGGTTCCGGGGAATGGATTCATGGTGGACCTGGCCTCAGGTCACAGACGCCAGGGGTTCCTGCGAGCTGATCCGGGCCTGGGGCAGGGCCCTCTGCTGCTGTCTGAACCCAGCCTGGGTCCCTGAGGGCTTAGGGCACCCACCAACGTGGGAAGCAGAGGAGGGGGAGCCAGGGGCCTGGCCCCCAAGCCCACCCTCCTGGCAGAGGCAGTGCCACGGGCTGGCAGGAAGGGACAGCAGCCTGCCCGTACCTGCATCGTGGGCGAGGGCCTCACTCACGGGAACCAAGCCACCCCCACAGCACAGACGCTCCACAGAGAAAGCGAGACCTTTGCCCTCAGAGCGAAAGCCAGAGTCCTCAAAGAGGCCCTGCAGCCCCTCCCTGGCCCCGTTTCCCTCTCTCTCCCTCCCTCAAGCCCCAGCTCCTGGCGGCTCCTCCTCGGAGGCATGCTCCTACCCCAGGGCCTTTGCACGGGCCCTGCCCTCAGATGGCCGACTCTCTCTCTTGTTAATATATATTTTTATTGATTTCTAAGAGTAAAGGAGAGGGAGAGAGAGACAGAAGCATCAATGGTGAGAGAGAATCATTGATCCGCTGCCTCCTGCACGCCCCACACTGGGGATGGAGCCTGCAATCCGGGCATGTGCCCCGACCGGGAATCGAACTGTGACCTCCCAGTTCACAGGTCGACGCTCAACCACGGAGCCATGCGGCCAGGCGAGATGGCTGACTCTTGACTCAAATCTCACCTTCTCAGAAAGATCCACTTAAAGCTGCAGCTGCCCCCAACCTCTCTCTCCTCACCTCACTGTTCACCATCTTTTTAGGCATGTGCCCTGACCAGGAATTGAACTGTGACCTCCCGGTTCACAGGTCGATGCTCAACCATGGAGCCATGCGGGCGAGATGGCTGACTCTTGACTCAAATGTCACCTTCTCAGAAAGATCTAGTTAAAGCTGCAGCTGCCCCCAACCTCTCTCTCGTCACTTCGCTGTTCACCGTCTTTCACCACATTACGTGTTATTATGATTGCTGTCACTTACCCTCCGTGTTGAATAGGGTCAAGATCTCATAGGGCAGTGGTCAGCAAACTCATTTGTCAACAGAGCCAAATATCAACAGTAAAATAATTGAAATTTCTTTTGAGAGCCAAATTTTTTAAACTTAAGCTATATAGGTAGGTGCATTGTTATTAACTTAATTAGGGGACTCCTAAGGCTTAGGAAGAGCCACACTCAAGGGGCCAAAGAGCCACGTGTGGCTCGCGAGCCGCCGTTTGCCGACCACGGTCTTAGACTATAAGCTCCCTGAGGGCGGGCCTTATCTGCTCAATCGATGCGTCTTGGTGCCTGGGACATCGTGGGTGCTCATGGAGTATTTATTGGCTGACAAGTCCTTCGCTAGCCCCACGGGCCTGGGAGCCCTCTGAGGGTGGCTCCGGAGCCGCCGCCTGCCGCCTACCTTGTAGTACTTGCCGTAGATGTCGGACACCATCATGATGATGGGGAAACCCATGAAGGTGACCAGGGAGAGCTGCCAGGAGAGGCTGAACATGAAGACCACCACGCCGGTGATCTTGACCGCGTTCCGCAGGAACACGTTGATGTTCTGCGAGACCAGGTCGCTGACCATGGTGGTGTCCGACGTGAGGCGGGAGATGAGGTCGCCTGCAACACGGGCAGCTCAGCACCCGCTGCGGCCCTGGGGCCACCGGGGGGCCGGGGGCAGGGGAAGGGACACTGAGGGGAGGCACCGGGGAGCCTGGGGAGGGGGCGGGAAAATGAGTCGATGCCCCCTCGAGGGCTGCTCTGAGCCCGGCCCTTGCCACAGGCATTTTGTGCCGTCAGACCCATAGCACAGAGGAGGGACCGAGACTCAGGGGGGAGGACGCCTGCTCAGCGCCACACACATTGCCCGTCACTGAACTGGAGCCAAACCCGTCCCTGGAGAGGGGGTGACGCCCCGCTTCCCTCACACAGAGAAATAACAAGCCGGGCTGCGGAGGAAGGAGCTGGGGCCTTCTACCAGCTGCTGGGCTAAGGGCTTCACAACCCCACGGGGTGGCTACTCCTGCTGTTCCCATTTTAGAGATGGGAACACAGAGGCCCAGGGGTTGTTAGCGAGCGAGCGGTGGAACCAGGTCTTGGATGTGGGCCAGAGACAGTGATCTCGGCCGGATGCTGCACTGCTCTGCCCCGTACCCCCCGCCCCACCTCACTCACCCAGAGGATCTGGGCCCTTTAGGCCGCAGGCGTGGGTGGTCTTGGCCCCTGCGGTGCCCACAGGGCAGTGGGAAGCAGGGCCTTGGCTGCTGCAGGGACCTCGGGTGGCCTGGCCGGGGTCCTACAGCGGCCACAGCTCACACCAAAGCCTCAGCCAGCAGCCCAGCTCCCCGGGGCCTGAGCCCGCCTCCTGGGACGAGTCCACCCAGAACTGGGCGGCAGAAAAGCCAGCAT